ATATATTGCAAAAACGTATTTTGCTTGTTTTTTTTGTTTCGTTATCTACAACCATTTCATTGTATTCGCTTTTTCACAAATTGAATTTCCATGCTAACAGAAATTTCTATGTGCATACAGTGTGTACATACATACAATTAAATTCATACACTGAAATTGAGATTAAATGAAAATTTTTCAACGCCAATTTTAAAGAGATATAGTAATAGAATAAAATTTAAATTTAGTCTATAAACAAATTAATATACAATATATGTATGTCAATATATACATTTTTTTTGGTTTTCCTGCAATAATTGCTTAATCGTACTCAAGACATTCGATTAATTTTAATATTTAGCTGCAATCATTTTTTACGTGAAGCCTTAAAGATTTTGTTTGATTATTAATATATAATTTTTGTTTCGCACAATAAAATGTTATAAGCTGCTGCTTGCTTTGCTTTTTCTTTTTGCTTTTTTATGTATTTTATATCTTAATATTTAAGAAATTATAATATAAATTACAAATATTAAAATCATCATTCTATACACAACTATGTATTCGAAATCATATATGTACATACATACTTGCGTATACATACGTATATGAGTATGTATGTACTCGTACACACATGTTTACGATAACCACACTCGATTATACAGAAAAGGACATTTTTTAGATGAATCGATACACCTTAAATTATCTTCAATCCCATTAAAGAAATCAAAGCCTTGACTTAAGGCTTTATCAGACACAGCAATTATTATTTCTTTTACGAATTTAGCTGTTAAAATAACTCAATTTATTCGTGTAATTTCAACATTTTGAAATCTTAAAATTACGAAAAGAAAAATTACAGTAAATGACTCAGCACTCATTCTGCACTTTGCATTTTGAAATTGAATTTTCAATTGCTCGCGCTGCAATTTTTCTTTCGCTTGAAAGTGTTTTCAGGAGATTTAGATATTGTAACAGAAGCTTTTTGAAATAATTAATTAAATTATTATTGTGAAATAAACTAGTTTTTAGCAAATATAAAGAAAATGAGTGAAATTTGTGTGGTTTACAGTGTGAAAGCTGATCGATTTCATTGTGAATATTTTAATATCAAAGATGCACCTCATTCTAGTCGGGTAGCCACTGAAAAAATACCGATGAATTTCTGCACCTGAGCGCAAGATCGGCAGGCAAGCTGCCAAGAGCTAGCGAAGGCATTTGGTATCACTGCGCTTGAAATCAGAATTAGAATTTTTTTATTTTGACATGCAACTCGAAAGCAACTAATAGCTGCATCGGACAGCGCTTTAATTTGAAATTCGTTAAAACAACTTCCTATTATTACGGATGATGAATGGGATCAGCGATTTGTCGTTTGTCCACAAGAAAAAAAAAATTATTCAGTTTATTATTTTGCGAAAAAATTTTAAATGAGAAAATCAGTCCTTTTAAAAAGAAACAATTACTTATGAGGGAAAAATAAAAGATTGTTATTTCAAATAAGGAGAAATGGTCATCGTAAGCAGGAAACAAAAACAAAGTGGTTTCGCTCAAATTTAGCGCAAAAATGCTTTTACATAATTTTCTTGTGTATGTACATTTTGTACCAGATGAGAAAGCAAATATTAATTTTAGAGTTATAAATCGCTAAGTTAAATTAAATTAAATTGAATACAAAAATCAATTTTTACCAGATCCATAAATATGTATATAAATAATTTAATGCAAAGAATAAAAAATATAATTGGAGATTGGAGGTATTCGAGATATCATTTCTTAAAATTTAAAAATATAACGAAACATTTTGAATTATTGTTATTAATATTTTTTTTTGATTTCCTCAGTTAGTCATTCATAAGATTATAATAGCTTTTTTTTAGAATAAATTTTAAGTGTCAAAAATATTTCATATCGTGCATAATTTCAACTTTTTAAAAAATTTACTCAAGATATATAATTGATGTTTTGTAACCCTTGAAACAATTTGCGGCCGAGCTCTTAAGATGTTGACCAATATTTTTATAAAAGATTCCAAGTATTATTCGTTATATTCCATGAAATGTATTGGCATTGCATATACATATGTGTAGTTAAATGATAACTGAAAGTCTCCGGCGATTTTTGCCACTAGATTGTGTGGATACTCACAATATTTTCTTTGTGAAAACAGTTCTGTAAATCGTCTATCGTGAAAAGTTATTTTAATTTGAAAATGAGTGAAATTTGTGTGGTTTACGGTGCGAAAGCTAAAGCACAGAAGTGGTTTGATCTATTTTATTGTGGAGATTTTAATGTCAAAGATGCACCTCGTTCTAGCCGGGTAGTCACTAAAAAAATACCAATGAATATCTGCACCTGGGCGCAAGATCGACAGGCAAGCTGCCAAAAGGTAGCGAAGGTAATAGGTATTACTCAAGTGAGAGATTGGAATAATTTATAGGAGACTGGCTGCATAAAGAAGTTCGCTATTTGGATGCCACATAAAATAACAAAAAAAAAAAATAGTTTGGCTGAATTATAATGGGTGGTACGCTTCTGAAACACGACACAATCGAGCTATTTTTGAAGCGATTCAAGACGAGCGCGAATATAAAAAAAGTTTCTAATGCTCGGTGACCCTTACACACAAAAGATTTCAGAGCCTCAATCCAGTGCATAGTGGGATCGAATGGGCATAGTCAATTTTTTTTTTTTTTTTTTTCAAATAAAAAAATAATTATTACAACGCCAAAACATATACATACATCTTTGATGCCCAGTAAAACCTGACGGACCTTGTTTGAGAGGTTTTGTTGCACCCACTGGATCTTTTATTATTTCTTTCGGTCCCTGCAAAACTCTAGATGGAAAATAATTCGACGACCGAAGAGCCAATGAAAATCATTCGGTCGAGTTCTTTGTCGATAAAATGTAGAAGTTCTACACTACACTGAGGGAACTATGAAGCTACCGAAAAAATCGTAAAAATAATTTTCACGAAAAAATTTAAAAAACATAAATAAAAAAATATTCATTATTCGCAAATCGCAAGATTGTTGAAGACTTTAAGAATCGGCTGTATTTAACTGTCATCACGATAACAGACTATCTTCAGAAGTGTTTGGCGAGGGTATAATTTCCTGGTTACATCCAAATACCAAATAACTAATTATTAGATAAACTTTTATTTTCTTGAAATCGGGCATACAGATGCAAACAAAAAATCCCAAAAATTGTACTCTTTCCATCACTGCAAAATAGTTTGTCAGTATGACGTCAGCTAAAGATAGAGTTGTCTGCCAAAATTAATAACCGCAAATGATGACGGTATTGCCGCAATCTTCATATTCGATAATTCTTGCATATAGTGTATGTGCATATGTATATACATACATATATCCTTGATACAATAATTTAAAGGTAATTTGATTTTCTTTTCACAGTCGATTTCTAGGTTATCTGACATTAAACGTGTTTGGTCTTTTTCATGCTACCAACTGCTCTTAAAATAAATTTTCTACTTTTAAATAAAATAAGTGTGGAGAATTTTAATATTTCTTAAATGTTTAAACGTGTAAAAGAAGAAAAGAAAGCGAAAATATTGCTCCACTAAAATTTAAACCGAATTAAAGAAGATGATGAGCTGTCTGAGATTTGCTATATCTGAATTAAATTTGATTAAATTTCCCAAAGTTTTAAATTGAATCTAACCGATAATTACTTATATTGAGATTTGGAAGCCCTCTTGGTCCTACTGATCGGTTTCGGAGGACATGCCTCTTACTTTTCCAGATGATCAACCTTGGTGTATCTTATGAAGTTCAGTAGATTATTGTTGCAAAATCTGCAGGGTAATCAAAGAAGAAATTTCCGAGAAAACGATAACGGTAAAGTCGTTTGGAAAACATTCTATCCTCCTACCATCAGTCCCCACAACACAGTGTCTGTTAACTTGGAAATAATATAGAATTAGTTCCGAAGGACCGCAAGACCAAGAAGTAAATATATTTAGAAGAGGTGAGATTGGAGCGCGCCAAACGGTAAATCCGGCCGCTCGAGTACTTTAATCGCCTTTTTCTCGAAACCACGTTTTTTTAACTGGGGTACACTCTTATTTAGAACCAATTGAACTTATCAACATGAACAAGATGGCATTTTACTCCTTAAAAGTCTCCCTATGGTCGATACTACAACCAAAAAATTTCATTGTTTTTAATTTTTTTTTTTTTTTTTATAAACAGTTAAACCTGAAAAAAGGGTAAAAATTTTTTTATTTTTTAATTTTTTGTGAAAATGTTTCAATGTAGTTCCGGCCACAGCCAATGTGATATAGAAAGAAACCGTCTTGATTTTTGCTTTCAGATGATTCGTTTTACAGTCACTCACCAACAAAAGGGACGTGTTTCAGTACCAATTTTAAGATCCGCGATTTAAAAACAAAATTTTGCAATCAATAAATTTGTCTACTTATATATAAACTTTGATTTACAAATATTTTTTTAAATAAATAAAATTTGATTGAAAAAAAAATACGATTTTTGGAGGAACCTGGCCTTAAAAAATCTCCAAAATGAATATCTTATAAGCGGCAAGCTCAAACAATTCTGAGCAAACACGTCTAGTATCGAAAAATTCGAAGCGAAACTACCTTATAGAATTTTTGTATCATGCATATATCACTACAACCGATTCTTAAAGTTTTTTTTTTTTTTTTTTTTTTTTTTTTTTTGAGAAAAATCCAAATCTCGTGCCAAAAAGCAAATCTTTCATCTTTTGGATCTATAAGTATGAACCAGTTTCCTGGATAATAGGATTTACGATTAGCGGCATTTGAGTTTATTACTCAAAATTAATTGAAAACTAAAAGCATTGAAGTTCGTATTTCATGAAAAAATTCCATAAGAATCGGTTGAAATATTTTTTTCAATTGTTAAAGTAATATTATAAATAAATTAGTAACTTTAGTAAGCAAACTAAAATAATATATATGTATTACATTATTAGAATTATCATTAAAACTATAAAAAATAACAGTCCACACGTTTTAAATTAATATTTTTGATTGCCATGAAGTTTTTCTTTCACAATTTGCCCTAGGATTTTATCAAGTATTGATTTCAGAATACATTTTAAAAACTCTACCTGAAAACTTAAAAAAGTTATCGTTAAATATATCTAACAATTCCATCACTTAATAATGAAATCTTCTTTTGGACACTGGGTCGTGGTAAACATGCTCACACATTGTTAGAATTCATATACATTTACATATTTAATTTAGTATATGTTTAAAAAATTTCCCTCATATTTTCCTTTTACACTTTTAACTTAATTATTTACCCCATCCAATTCGCTTACATTAAGAAATCGTAAGAAAGTTTTTTTTTTGCATTCAGAGCATATGTTATACATATGTATGTATATAGCACACCATAAATAAATATGTATCAGTATTAAGGAAAATTATTGATATTAACGCGAAACAAAACTTAATTTCCATTTAATATTATTTACTTTACTTTATACTATCATATACCCACTATGCAATATCAGTAGCATTTCAATGTTTGACTAAATACTAAGATGAGTTGAATACACGGGTTCATAAAGTCGAATAATCGCAGCGTGATTGAGATTGTATGTATAGTGTGTCTACCAGGTTCGCGTGTAAATTTTGCCAAACTCTACAAGAACAAGATGGCGTGCGTTCGAATGGAAATCAATAATTAGGCAATGCGGCCGAGAGTGAAAGCAAATATCATAATTAGCTGCTTGTTAACCGCGGTAGTTAATATTCTATGTTATCTGTCTTCTCTATGAGTTTTTTCGCTTCAGATGGACATTAATTAATGTTTAATTGTTTCGAGTTTTAAGCAACAACTCTCCTCAAAGACAACAACAATCTACCCCTTAAGCAACAGGCCATTGTTTGGAAATTGGGCAAAACGTACACTGTTGCAAAAGTACATATGCACAAATTAAGCCATACCACCGCCACCACCGTTATTATCATTGATGTTGTCTGCATTTACGCCTTCGCCCATAACACCGCCAACGACAATGTTGCCTCACCATCCATCTATGTCATCGTCGTTGTTTTATGTAAATAAGGGGAGATGATAAAAGTCGAACCCTCTGTATCCTTTAGCTGCCAGCCAAATGTAGACGACGTGATAGGCGCCTGGTATGAAGCAGATTAGGCCAGCAACGAAGAACACCACACCCTGTGAGGTGTTCGCTGGATCTGCGACTGCGAATGTGCCGAATACAAAGAGACCAGTGCCGACTATTAACAACGTGACTGCGGCTAATACAGTTCGCCAATTTTCGCGTACCTTTGGATGCCGCCAACAGTATGTGTTCGTCTCCTCTGTGGGTATATTGCCATACTCTTGGATAAGCGAGTCACTATCACGCGATGTGGTGTCCTCAGCATATTTGGTGTAGTTTCTGCAAAAAAAAAAAATGGAAATAACAAAGAGAAATTTAGTGAATTTATATATAATATATATATATATATATATGTGTCAACTATGTACAGATGTATACATATCTGCTATATTTAAATATTCAATTAATTTAGCTATGTAAGCCCCTTTGTGTGTGAGAACTAAAGGTAGACAGTGGATAAAATTAGTTGGTTAGCGGATTTTACAAATTATAAATGATTTTTAATTGAAAAAGTTAGACAAATTGATTCATTATTTCGGATATACTCATATGTATTTAAGAGGTAAAGCCACTCTAGAGGCTGGAAAATAGGCTTATTTTTTTTAATTTATTGCAATAGAATTTCTATTTAAACAATTAATTGAACATACAGCCTTGGCCAAAAGTATTAGGCATCCCACTCTCTTGCGAGTCTCTCAAGGATAGCAAAAAAAACTTCTTCCGGAAGCAGGTTTAAAAGGATGTAAAGCCCGAAAAAAGCCGTGGCTCTTAGAAAAGAATAAGAAAAACCGTTTGGAATGGGCTCGTCGATACCAACGTTTTACGGAAGAAGATTGGTCGAATGTTCTCTGGTCTAATGAATCAAACTTCGAGGTAAGCTTAGTTAAGAATATTAAAGTATTAAAGTATTAACAGCCATTACTTCTTACCCTAGAGCAATTTTGAAGTCATAATACAAATCTTATGAAAACACTATTTTTTCTTTTCTACAGATATTTGGAACACCTGGTATGACGTTCGTGAGGCCAGAGTGCGTGGTACCCACTATTAAGCGTGGAGGAGGTAGCATTATGATCTGGGGCTGCATGGCTGCTGATGGTGTCGGCGAGGGTCTCTAGTACAGTCAAAAGTACATAAAAGTATTAGAAGCGCATTTTCGGCCATACTAATTTAGACGGGGTTCAATTTCAGCAAGACATTTCTGACAAGGATAGAAATCAGCGACTAAGATGCGTTGGTTTAGAGTGCGGACGAATACTAATACTTTTGGCCAAGGCTGTATATTGAAATATAAAAAAAATATACTTTAATTATTATTTTTTTACGAAATGGATGAAGTCCATCATTTAATTCATGTTTTTTTTTAAAGGCGTCCACGAGAGGACCGGTTTTTTCAAAAGGATGAGACCTAGCACAGAAAAGCAAAAAGTTTTATAATATACAAACTATGGCCTTCGGAACTAGGATCAATTTTTTAGCTAATTTTTGTGAAAGCGGCACACTTTTTTTAAAAAAGTTAGATTTTAGCCTAAAAATACGCACTAAATTATTAATAAAATAATATAAAAAAGTAATCGTGAAGCTACCATCAAAATTTCAGATTAATCGTTGCAATAGGGTCCTAATAATCTGTCTTCCCAGGGACTGCAGCAAAATAAAAAGTTCAGCTATTTGAAATATATTTTTTTCAAACCCAATTGCATATCATTTCTAGGACCCAAAAGTACCCTGTGAGAAAAAAAAACATTTTCGAGTGGCTTTACCCCTTAAGTTATAGAAAGCATTAAACACACCTTCCTATTGTGCGTTAAACACGTCTGAGTTAATATATGAAAGGCCTCCCACACCAGCCGAGGGGTTATAAGTAAGATTTTATACCGAAAATTTCATATGTGAACAAATCAGTTGTTTGGGGATTATATTTCGATGAAAATGTTTATTTGTATATACGAATGTTATTATCAAATTCATACTCTTAGATGCTTCTTTGAAGGAGTTTTAACAAAAGCCTTACATCTGAAGATAACGATGTATAGTCTGTCTTCCGATTTCAATCATTTTCAACACTAATATCCCTGCAGGGGAAAATACTAGCTGTGAACTAGAATTCAACTATTGTAGTTTAAATTTTTACACCAACTAGTTCATCTTCATCCATCTTCCACATAAGCAACTGGTATTTTTGACATGACGAAGGCCTACGTGCTGACAATTGTCCTACTATGCATCAGCTTCATACTAGTTTAATACTAGTTCATTTGGGCATGTTGAATTTCTACTTGCCCAAAAAAAAAAACTAAGCCAAATAAAATTCAGTTTGCCGGCTGCGACAAACGAACCGAGACCCTCACGCCCCACACTGAACACCTCTAACCACCGGACTATCGTTATGATATATGAAGGAACGATATCTGCGCACTTCCACGGAACTTTTGAAGAAATGAAACTCAGCCGTGCCATACTAACAACAAAACAGCACACGAATGACGTGGGGTAAAAATTTCTGTTTCACCAAAAATTAAAAAAAAAAACTTAAAAATTATTTTGCCTCTAGCGGGACTCGAACCGGGTGATTAACTTACTACAACGATAACCTCTAACCACTCGGCTATTATGACGATGCAAAGATCAATGTCATTTTGCGCACTTCAATTGAACAGAGCAGAGAATGGAATTCAGCCAAGGTCTGCAGATATAAGAACAACCAACAGTGGTGGAAATTATTATTTCTTCCGTTACTGATGGGCTTCATTACAAATAACGAACTGGTATGATGTCATCTTGAACATACTAGTATTTAACTAGAATTTTTACACACAAGTTGGTTTTCCCGTGCAGGGATGTATGTGTGTAGAATACCAACTCTAAATGCTTTTTTCACGAATTTATGACACAATATCTTTAATCTGTTAATTAATGTGAAAATATATTACTATATCATATCTCAAAACGGAAACAAACAATATCATACTCCCATATGCAATCACAGGAAGAGATTTTGACGAAGTTCACTTTTTACTATGCCCAAAAGGACGAGCTGGTTTATGGTACCAATTTTGAGGGTTTGATGGAAACTTTCATACCAGTTTCATATTTTCATATATCTAAACGAAAAACTTACTTCTACAACCTTTAAAGAGTTTCTTATGTAATGCTTTTTATTTACAAATTTTTAATTTGAAGGAGATAAAATAAAGCATCAAAACATGGATGTAAGTTTTTATTCCCTACATAGTGTAATAATCTGTTGTAGATATTTACCCTACAAAAGTGAAAACATTTAAAATTTCAAATTACTTAAAAAATATAACAGACATAGAAGAAGAATTTTCAGAATATGATGATAAAGACACTTCTGGAATTGAAAAATAACATGGAAGTAGATCAAAAGCTATTTACAAGTTAATTGGAATCAGAAAGCGACTGGGAAGAGGAGAATATTATAAATAAGCGTTCAGGCCAGAAAAGAAGAGGAGAGAGATTTACAAGATCAAAGCATTAAAACTGCTGTCGATGGAACAGCCTGGGAAGAAATAAACGGAAGACCCAAACCTGCCAGATTACCAGGGCGTAATATTTTTAGGGACATGCCAGGACCAACAGGGGCCAACAGCATACGCCAAACGACATATAATGAAAGGACTGAATTTACTCTCATCATTGATCAGCGCACCGTGCATCATATTGTAAAATGCACAGAAGAAGAAGAAGCATTTATGATATTGGAGACTAAATGCTGCAAAACTAGACGCATTTATTTCTTTGCTATATGGCTCGTGACGCAAATGAGGCAAAAAATTTGGATATATCATATTTGTGGAATAAAAATTGAGGACCCGCTTTTTTCCAAAACACTGAGCCGAAACAATTTTACTGTAATTATGAAGTATATACGATTTGATAAAAAAGAAGAAGCCACATACAATATGATCGATTTATAGAGAATTCACAAAATAGTTAAAAACCTGGTGCATTATTGCTGTTGATGAGCAGTCGAAGACTAGTTGTAGATTTACAAAATATATGCCAAGCAAATCAGACGAATTTGAAATAAAGTTCTGGTTAGGCCAATAGTAAGTATATAATAAATGACTTTCCCTATTTGGGAAAAAATGAAAAGAGAGATTGTGCAAATCCACGTGGGAAGTCGTTCTAAAGCTGATGGGTTCTTTCACATGATGCGGAAGGTATGTAACTACAGATAATTTTATCACGAGTGTATCATTAGCAAAGAAATTAATTGCAAAAAAACTACAATTTTCCGGGGAAACAAAAGAGAGTTGGCAAAGAAAGAAATGGCAGTATTTTCAAGAAAGAAAGTGCTTGTCCTAAGTTCCAAACATAACTCAATAGAAATATGAAAAAGTAGCAAAATACCAGAAATTATTATATTTTATAACAGTACGAAATTTGGTGTAGATGTGGCATACCAGATTGCAAGGCAATACAGCGTGAAGTCAAAAAGTTGTAGTTGGCCACTTCAAGTATTTTTTAACAGCTGGAATACATGCCTGGATTTTGTACTAAGAAGTAAAGAGTGAAAATATTGATAGGCAGAAATTTTTGTTCAGGTTAGCTTCAGAACTCGGCGATGCGTACACAGAATCTCAAGAAAAAAGCTTTTACCAACACCGTTCACAAGTTCCGATTTATGCGTACGAAAAACTTGTCAAATAAACCGAAATAATCGGACAACAATCTGGGCTTACGAAATTCCCTTGCGCAATATACGTAAACAGGTAGTTTCAATTGTGTAGTTGTTTTTTCTACTACGCATTTGAATCTTAAAAAGTGTCTGTTCTCTTTTACACTTGAGGAAAATTACATATGTATGTATGTAGATAAATTTGGTGTGGCGCGATGAGCTTTCCCTGAAGGCAAAATACTATGTGTTAACTAGAGTCGAACTGGTTTGAGTTTTTTTTTTACTAACTAATTCATCTTCCATATAAATGTATAAAGTATTTTTACTGTCAATTGACGGTTTGTGTATCAGGTTCATGCTAGTTGTATGTCATGATGAAATAATAAACAGGTGAAGTAAGTAGAGTAGAAAGAGATTTTGACACTGCCTTAGCTCAACGTTGTATTTACGAATTTGAAGAGAAAGGGGAGGAATGAAACAAAAATTGGGAATTTCAGGGGAATTTATATAAATGTTGAAGATATTAAATTATTTTTTGAAAAATATATATGTATGTATATATAATATATATGTATTTATATAATTGGCGCTTTATAACTGCTGAGATGTTTTTGAGCCGACCTCCTCGTCATAT